TATCCCACTAATATTTTTCGGTGCGTTCTTTAAAATTTACCTCGCAGCTATATAGTGGCGCCACCTTATCTAAAGGTTTTTATGGACACTTTTTAATAGACAGTCTGTACTCCTTACTTCTACACTCCATATGCAGGCTTACATTTTTGTTCGAGTCGGTTCGGTTCGGTTATCGATTGTTCACAAAGCTCACAGGACAAAGACGCACTCCGAGATTGTTTCAGTTCAGAGGAAAAAAATTTAAAATATAGGTTAAAGGCTAATAAAGTATAATAAGGGTTTAACATAACCGGTAAATATGTAATTACAAGTTTTTATTTTTGATGTGGCGACCCATTAGAGTGGCCCCTCTACTTGATTTTACGATAAACATCCACACTCAAAATTTAAATCACGATGCCTTCCAATCTTGTAGTTACCGCTACTATTTTTGATGTAAATAAAATTTAAGCAAGTAATTAATAATTAAAACAAAAAGTTAATAATTTATACTTAGGTATAACTTCTAAAAATACATGTATCCTATAACCCTAAAGTTGACCTTTAAAAACCTTTTTAAAATAAGAATACACTGCATAAAATCCATATATAATACAAACAAAAATAGCCCGATGATATAGTGAAGGACGAGGTTAGGTCAAACTCGTCGTTAATAAGTTCGAAGTGGTATTTTATTATGTGCATAATATTTTAAAAGGTAAAAATACAATGTTGTCCGTAATCTATAGCGAAATAATCGTCAAAGTGGCAAAATAGCCATCATTGCATTGTAAAAAAAACAACAACAATGAAATGACAGTCACAATGTCACAGCTTCGACGTTATCTCGCTAAAAGGTATTAAAAAAACATACCTAAACGCTCACGCCTGTTACTGAGAGGGGTGGGCAGATAATACGAATTTACATACGGCTCGATCATGACACACCTCACTCGCCCCTTTCACGTCAACATATCTATGGATACATGCACATCGATATAACTTGCTCGTTTAACTTCCCTCTAGGCCGTTCCGTGCACGCCCTGCCGCCGACTTCTGCAGCATAAATTTGCTTTGTCCTGTTTATCTCATTCATTCTTTCTACGTGTCCAAAATTTTATTTAAATTATTTGCAGATAACGTTAATAAAGTCATACAAGGTCTTCTTGTATCACAAATTCGTTAAGAGATCACAAGTATTTACAGAATTTGTTTTTAGTGACGCTTCAATTTTGTCAATGCATTTAGTGAATTGATACTTTTTTTTGTCGATCGCAACAAACGCATTGCTTAACTAAGATTGACTCTATCCGGCCATTATAATAATATAATCACAAGTATTTACAGAATTTGTTTTTAGTGACGCTTCAATTTTGTCAATGCATTTAGTGGATTGATATTTTTTGTCGTTCGCAACAAACGCATTGCTTAACTAAGATTGACTCTATCCGGCCATTATAATAATATAATCACAAGTATTTACAGAATTTGTTTTTAGTGACACTACAATTTTGTCAATGCATTTAGTGGATTGAGATTTTTTTTGTCGATCGCAACAAACGCATTGCTTAACTAAGATTGACTCTATCCGGCCATTATAATAATATAATCACAAGTATTTACAGAATTTGTTTTTAGTGTTGCTACAATTTTTTCAATGCATTTAATGGATTGATATTTTTTGTCAATCGCAACAAACGCATTGCTTAACTAAGATTGACTCTATCCGGCCATTATAATAATATAATCACAAGTATTTACAGAATTTGTTTTTAGTGACGCTTCAATTTTGTCAATGCATTTAGTGGATTGATATTTTTTTGTCAATCGCAACAAACGCATTGCTTAACTAAGATTGACTCTATCCGGCCATTATAATAATATAATCACAAGTATTTACAGAATTTGTTTTTAGTGACGCTTCAATTTTGTCAATGCATTTATTGGATTGATTTTTTTTGTCAATCGCAACAAACGCATTGCTTAACTAAGATTGACTCTATCCGGCCATTATAATAATATAATCACAAGTATTTACAAAATTTGTTTTTAGTGACGCTTCAATTTTGTCAATGCATTTAGTGGATTGATATTTTTTGTCGATCGCAACAAACGCATTGCTTAAGTAAGATTGACTCTATCCGGCCATTATAATAATATAATCACAAGTATTTACAGAATTTGTTTTTAGTGACGCTTCAAGTTTGTCAATGCATTTAGTGGATTGATATTTTTTTTTGTCGATCGCAACAAACGCATTGCTTAACTAAGATTAACTCTATCCGGCCATTATAATAATATAATCACAAGTATTTACAGAATTTGTTTTTAGTGACAATACAATTTTGTCAATGCATTTAGTGGATTGATATTTTTTTTGTCGATCGCAACAAACGCATTGCTTAACTAAGATTGACTCTATCCGGCCATTATAATAATATAATCACAAGTATTTACAGAATATGTTTTTAGTGACGCTACAATTTTGTCAATGCATTTAGTGGATTGATATTTTTTTTGTCAATCGCAACAAACGCATTGCTTAACTAAGATTGACTCTATCCGGCCATTATAATAATATAAATACAAACGTGTGCGGATAAGTAATGTAAACAAACCAATTTAATTTCACCAGGAGATATCAATCATTTATGTATAAACAAACGTGTGACTTAAACGTGAGCTTGGTGGCAATGGACCCTTTTCTTGAAAACAAAAATAAAGGAAGGAGATGTCCTCTCCCGAGGACGCGCCAGCTGACGCTGGTAGGACTACGGATATTTGCGAAAACATTCCCGAGGCACTGCAGACAAGTAGCGCAGGTGGAACACAGTGAGATTTTAGTTGGTGCGAGTCCGACATAGCACAACCTCGCCCCGCATTAGAACAAGCGTAATATTATCCAGTGCACAGATTATCACTAATATTTTCTTCAAATGCTAAGGTGGGTTCTACGCTAGAGGAGCCGTGCAGGAGCTGAGCACAAAGCTAAGCTGCTCTACTCGCGGTGTCAAGTGTGGACGTACAACAGTGCCTACAGCATGCAAATCCCCTAGTGCTCGTCAAAAAACCGACAACAGGCGGAGCACAGTCGAGCTCGCTCGACTCGAAACTTCTAGACTTCGAAACGCTCGAAACGCGTTCGTTCGAGGCTTGTAAGTCGATCCAAACTACATGAATTTGTGCTCAGCTCATGCTACGCTCATGCTTGGCTCGTCTAGCGTAGACCCACCTCTACAGTGTTCGTTATATTATTCTAATCCATAGTCAAATCAAAAAATGAACTAAATCAGTAAAAACCACTTTTTCGATTGCCACATTAACTAAAAAGTTAAGCTTGAATTTTCGAAAAACATTAATAATTGCTGAAAGTGGTTTATGGAACCTAATGAGTATTTTAAAAGCCTAGATAGGTTTATGTATGATACTCAATATGTATTGAAATACAAAAAATAACTTACAGTACTTAAATAAAGTTAAAAAGTTATGATATATTCTTATTTCTTATCTCAAAATTGACAACTATACTGCATGACCTTTTTTACCGTCTGGAAAAAAATAGGGTGTAACATGTGAACAAAGCAGAAGCCTATGGCACTGATATTTTACACAAAATAAAAACAAACATTTTGAATTAAATAAATAAATAAATAAATTAAAATCTATCGAAATTCAAATCATATCCACCCTACTTTACGAACGGCAATAAAACAATAAATTTAGTAGGCATCTGACCTTGTTACTTCGTAGGGTCACAGGTTAGGGTGGATATGATTCGAATTTCGATAGATTATAATTTATTTATTTATTTAATTAAAAAAAGTTACACTATTTTTTACAGACGGTAAAAAAGATCATCCAGTATAGGCCAAAATACATTTATATATCATCATATTACAGTTGTATATCTAATTTCACCAAAACAAGTTACCGTGATACCTAGAACTTTGTGTAATTAATAAGGAAACTAATAATCTTTGTATGACAGCGGAACCTAAAAACGAAAACAGTTTACATCTCTACTAGAGATGAAACGGATAACCGGTAACTATCCGGTATTCGGCCTATCCGGCCGGATACCGGATTTAAAAAAAAACACAAAATATCAAATTTAGTTAAGTACCTCATTTATATCACAACAAATATAAATCAGTAATCATAAAATTTTCATTTTAAAACTCACAAAATTAGTACTAGTACTGCGCTAAGGCACAGAATAAAATAGTAGTACATTGCTAAGGGCTAATTATGGTGAATAAATACTAATTTCTCTGCATTGAAAGGTAACAAGCGGTTTCGTCTGTCTTCATAAACAAAGCCACTTTTCGCTGTACACACTCCTGCAGGGTACTGAAAGATAGATTTTGGCAAACGTTGATAAACTTGGGTATCGTGTAGCAATACCTGTGCACGAAATATGCGGGTCACGATCGCGAACAGTTTGCAGTGACTTCACTTTTCGCCTCTTGCGATGCACCAAACGGCAATGTTCGGCAGAATATCCGACGGTCGCATATCCGGCTATCCGGCGATAAGACTGGCTAATATACTGTATCTGATATCCGGCCAAACAGCTATCCGTTTCATCCATAATCTCTACCCTTACATTTTCGTTCGGCACAAAATGCCGCTTAAATCGACAATTGTGTTTCAAAGTGCAAGTGGTGATAATTTGCAATAGTGTGAGTAGTGTTAGAACTTTAAAAAGAAGAAAAGAGAAGGAAAAAGTCATTTACAAATTTAAAATGGAACAGAGATGGGATAAGGGAATCACATGTATAATAATTGGTGAATAAAAATTAAGGCATTTACCCTATATAATTCAAGGCAGACGTTAAAAAAGTACAGACATACTACCCTTTGTGAATTTTAAGTGTTACAATTAACGGCGAAATTGCAGCCAGTGACTGTGGAATATGCAAATGATGCGTTTTGCCGTGTCAGTTCAGAAGGCACACTACATACTGTTATTAATAAAAAAGGTAAAAAAAACTCGTACAGCTGCTAAAAACTCCGCTGACCTCAGGCGTTTAATCGTCAAGCCACACTTAACGAGTGCACTCGCATCGTGGAATATTCCCTCTTGGTGAGTTTCGTTTTTCATGTTGGCAAAACAGGATGGTGCGGTTTCAGACCGCCGCAGTTTACTGGTAATCCTCTTCATTGTCCGCGAACACAGGTAGTTATCTGGCTTTCTAAACCTAAGGACCATAGGATGGGGTAGGAAAAGGGATACCAGCTCGAAATAATGTTGAAAATAAAAATCGATATAAATACATGTAATATAAAAGTAACCATAAACAAGAAAGAAGTAAGTTTTCTCTAACAATAAAGTGTCCAATTATTTATAATAATTTAAAGCCAAGTACATATTCCTTACCTTGTGAGAGACTCCTTATAGTCAAGGTCGTCGATCCCAAATCTCTCTCGAAGATTCCTGAATACCAGTGGACAGTATTCTTTTACTTTAAAATGGGATGGCATGTTTTCTCTGTAAAAGATATTTTTTTATTTACCTTGCACATTTCTTATTTATAGCTATTTACATAAATAAGTAGTATGAAATATAAATCTTTTTTTTTTAATATTCTGATCCTTTCAGCTGGCTTGTTCCTAGATCCTTTGCAGTGTTAGTGACAAATTAATAAAGATTAACCTTATTTTATTTCTATTTAATTTGTCTTCTGGGTTATCTGGAAATGATTGCTATGTAGCAATAAGAGGGCCTTTTGTTTATCCCTCATTATTTGTTTATTTTTGTTATATTTGTATTTTCTTTGTGTACAATATAGAGTATTATATTGTGATAAACTAATTTTGGGTTATAAATATATGATGTGGCCTATAGACACCAATATCTATCATTGATTAACATAAATATAATAGGACTCATTTGGTATTGTAAATGAGGCAATTTACTGGGAGACCTACATTCAACAGTGGACTTTTGATATAATGATATTGATGATTGAAGGCTTGGACATCTTCCTCAAACACCGTAAGTCTTTTCATCAGAAGTCTGGCCCATTTCATTTGGCTTCCTCATATGGTTCAGGACACATTTCTCTATAACACACTCCAATTTATTAGAATAACATGAAATTCATCCTGCAAGGCTCAAATCCAGTTCGCGTTCATATAGATCTCCTGACTTAGCATTTCCTTTACTTCCTCTATATAGATGTAGTATTGACAGTCTTTAAAATATCAGTTGCATGATGTGGGTAGGTTGAGTGCTCAAGGGTGTGTTACACTTTCGCTATTGATGTTAGGGTTTAAATTTTCTATATACTGTGTCTTAGCAATGACCTTTAGAGGCTTTATTCTTGTAGTTCTTTAAAGTTCACTTTTTTCTTCTGGATAATTCTTTCTTGAGTTTGAATTTTTTTAAGCTTTGTATCAAACTGCTATGCTGGGGGTGACAAATGCCTTATTTATATCCTATTAAGAACCTTTACTGATTTCTCGATATGTTACTCATTTGCTATACAACATTATGTTAGAAAAGGAGAGCAAACAAGCATTTGGCTCACCTGATGGTAAGTGACTACCGCCACCCGTGAAGAACTGTAACACAAGGGGAATTGCAGGTATTGCTGGCCTTATAGAAAGGAGTAATCTCCCTTCTCAAAGGTCCCTAAGTTGTATCAGTCTGTAAAAATCGCCAGCGGTAGACAATTACATAGAGAAGAAAACTCCTAGTAAAATGCACAGTAGTAACCACTAAGCATCCAGATGGTGAAGATTGTGAAGTTTTCTCGAAGATAATGTATGTTTGTGAAATTTGGTGGCATGAATTAATCTGAACAATTCCTCAGAGCACTTCCTGTGGTATAGGTATGCAAAGGGCAAAGGGTTGCAACATCTTTATGCAGTGCCAGTGAATCAAGCTGATCAGAAAGAATAGTCATCGACGATTTAAAACGCTTTTCGCTGGATGCTGTCAAGTGGAAGGAGATGGTACTGGGGTACTCCTGCCCAGAGAGGAGAACAGTATTCTATATGAGGGCGAACTTGCGCTTTGTAAAGTTGCAAGCGATGTTCGGGCATGAAATACTCTCACTCTGCCGAGCATGTCAAGCTTTTTAGACGCCAATTTGGCCTTCCCTTCCAAGTGACTACGGAACTTAACACTATTCGATATGTCGATGCGGAGAATTCCGATGCTAGCTGAGGCAGCAAGGGGAGTGCCTTGAAACTGAGGAGGTACAACAAAGGCTGCTCACCAATGTCATTTTTCGACATTTTAAAAAATGGGTGCGTTTGGCAGAAAAAAGCGCTAGCAAGCGTTTGTAAGCAAAATGGCGATCGTAAGCGGTAAGCGCTGTCAAATCGTAAGTAGCTATTTTCCTCCAGGACACGATGTTAGTTTTAACCGGGGAATCTAACCTAATTTAAATATATGTTTGTAAAGTATTCATATTAAAAACTTACCAATCATGAGTTTTTAATAGCATGTATATGTTTATTCATGTCATTATATTACTTAAAACTAATATTGCACAAAACAACTTATAAACTCTACTTCAAAACAAACAAATTAAATAAGCAAAATGGCGGATTGTGTCAGCGCTACTGAAGTAGCAATCGTGTCCTGGCCGAAAACTATTTTAGCGCTTATAAGCGCTTGCTAGCGCTTTTTTCTGCCAAACGCACCCATTGTAAACCTTACTCTAATATAAGGTCTTTCCTCCTTTTGCTTTTATCACCGCCTGCATACGCCTATTAAGGCAACGGATCAGCATTTTTAAGTCTTCTTGAGGTGTCTGTTCCTATTCTTCTGTTAAGGCGGCTTCCAGTTGATCCATCATCTCAGGAACTGGATTTCGGACTCTAACACTTTTTTTATCTGGTCCCTGAGATACTCGATGGGATTTAAGCCTGTACTATTAGCTGGCCACTTTATAACTGGAATTCCGAATTGTGCGGTCTTCCGTTATCATAAATGAGTTGAAAATCTTCCCCAATATACTCAGCGTAAGGCATCACATGAGGTTGCAAAATGTATGTAATATAACTTTCAGCATTAACCGCACGATTGCGAAAGAAAACCAACTCAGTACATCCTGTTAAAGATATGCCACCCCAAAACATTGTAGAGCCTCCACCAAACTGGACTGTTTCTCTTATGCAACACTGAGCATTCTCCTGATCTTTGCATAATGTTAGGACGTCCATGAGAGCCTACAAGGGTCATTCGGCTTTATCGCTGAAGAGAACTGTCTTCCATTGTCCAAAATTCCATTGCACATGTTGCCTAGCAAATACTAACCTTGCTTGCCAATGAGATTCAGTGAGTTTTGGTCCCCTCGCTGGCTTGTGTGGTGTCAGGTTTTGCTCCAAAAGTCATCTTCTCATCGTATTCTCACTTACAGACACTCCACGAGTTTTCCTTAGCCCGAACATCAACAGCAGAAAGATGCCGATAACCCCAAGAAGTCAAGGCAATAAAACGGTAATCCATCAGGCTTATGAGACATCCTCTTCCAAACCCTGGTCTCCGGCAGTACTCTCCCGCCTCTAAGTATAGTTTATAAGCTCAACGCACTGCTGATCGACTCAAATTTAATATCTTTGCCACATTCCGCTGACTTGGCCCTTCACAAACGAGGTGCTACCACTTGAGAGGCTTTTGCTTCAGCGGTATCCATATTTTATGGTTAAAAATAACAATATGTCTACTCCAACAAAGACTAAGTCTAAGAAAAGATTAAGTCACTACGATGCACAGAACCAAGAATATTATGCATCAAAAGTCAAGTCAAAAAAATTAAACTAACCTTGCACCCTATGCACAAGTTGACAATTTTATCAGTGCACTTAAAATGTTACAAATACCCACAACAGGCACTTGTATTCCTCTAAAACAATGTCAAGTGGGTACTCAGATGTTAATTTATAATGCATAAGCAAAAACCTACGAGGGTGGATTGAAAAGTACTCGGCCTAACCAAGAAAATAAACACATACTAAATCAGTTATATTTTTATTTTTCTACATAATCACCATCAAGTTCAATACACTTTTGCCACCTCCCCTTCCAAGCATTTAGACCGTTGAAAAAAAATGATTCTTCCTTAGAGTCAAAATATGCGTCTACAGCTGCTTTGACCTCGTCGTTTGTTGAAAATCTTTGACCTCCCAAGTGCTTTTTTAGGTTAGGGAACAGAAAGAAGTCTGATGGTGCCAGATCAGGTGAATACGGCGGATGCGGTAACAGTTCAAAGCCACAGTTGTGAATTTCAGCCATTGACTGTACTGACGTGTGAACACGGGCGTTATCTTGATGAAACAGGACTTTTCTTCTGAGCATTCCTCGACGTTTTTCTTTTATTTCCTCTCGTAAATGACGTAGTAAGGTGCAGTAGTAATCAGAGTTTATAGTCTGACCCCTTTCAAGATAATCAATCATAATCACACCTTTCCAGTCCCAGAATACTGAAGCCATCACCTTATTTGCCGACAAAATCGACTTAGCCTTTTTAGGGGGTGGTGAACCAGGTCTTCTCCACTGTTTTGATTGTTGTTTTGTTTCCGGTGTACAGTAATGAACCCATGTTTCGTCCATAGTAACAAAACGATTCAAAAAATCATCTGCATCGACTTCAAATAACTCCAAACAGTCGCGTGAAATAGTCAATCGCGTCCTTTTTTGTTCAACTGAAAGCAGTTGCGGAACCCACCTCGCAGACACCTTGTGGAAACCCAACTCGTTGACAATGATGTTTTGAGTTCGTTCATAAGAGATGCCTATAATCTCGGCTATCTCTCTAATTTTTAATCTGCAGTCTCCCATTATTAAATCAAGTACTTTTTTAATATTTTCTTCAGTAGTTGACGTCGAAGGCCTTCCAGAGCGGGGTTCATCTTTCACACTCTCTCTACCACGCTTAAATTCTGCTATCCATTTTTTGACGGATGAATATGACAGAGCACAATCGCCTAATGTACTGACCATGTCATCATGGATGGCTTTTGATGATAGCCCCTTCTTATGGAGGTACTTAATGACGGCACGCTGCTCGATTTGCTCCATTCGCGGAAATTATGTCCGATTACTTTGTTAATAAATTTATAAAATCACAACTAATTATCGCACACGTTTCGAACTTCACACAATGAACTAGTCTGAACTGAACTAAATAATGTGGGTAGATTTGATTTTTAGAATTGAATGGATCTGTGTTAGGCCGAGTACTTTTCAATCCACCCTCGTACAAATATGCCAACACATACTTAAGATAAGAACTTTGTTACTCAAAATTAAGGGATGTGTCGAGTTTTTTGGTATGAAATTAATTCACCTTTCATAACATCCTACTAAAATCTTTCGGTAACTTAAAGAATGATAATCTGAAATCATCCACACAACAATTATAGAAGGAATAACTTTTGCCATTATAATTTATCAAGTAGATTGATAATATTATACAAAACATATATAATTTTTAAATTACAATAAAACTTTTTGAATCATTTTATCTTACAATTAAATATACTAACACTAAACAAAAACTGCTTCAACAAGTATTTATAAAAAAATATTTACATAAACAGTGTTAAATAACATTAACATTTAATTGCCTATGAAGAGCTAACCCTGACGTATGTGGCCCGGGCCATCTCGCAATAGTAGATAATTATTACACACAGGTAGCATGATTGACAGAGCCCTGCCACCACTACGTGAATGGATAAATAATGAATGTAATCTATATATTTATATATATAAACAAAACAGAAGTGTCCATCTGTAATATAAAAAGAACTGCCTTATATTGAAGCTGAGGGGGTTTTTTGCATGAGATTAAAACATGCATAACTATTCTTAAAATTTTTACCTGTCCATCTCATGCTAACTAATAGTTTTATTCCTTGTAGCACAATAACAATACACTATCTATGATAAAAGTGAAAAATAAATGTTTCTTACTTATTAAACAAGTGATTGTCGACTTTAAGCTTTGAATATGCTCGAAAATCATCTGGCAGTAGCATAACTGGTATGGTAACATGGCTCAGTTCATTAATCTGCAAAAAGGAAATATTAAAATTTAAACAATAAAAAAAATATGCAATAATATATTCATACGTAGCTAGGGGTCACAAATTATATTGGCATTACAAGACTCTTAGTCAACCGCGGTGATAATGATAACTATTTATACCCCCACAAGGGTAGAATGAGACTTGAATAAGTGCCAGATATATACAATACATAGCATTCAAACAAGATTATAACATATTTAATACGCTAAATATCATAATTTCAATCTAGCTACGACAATGAAGATATTTCATCTTGCTTGGATCCTACAAGTATCATTGCACTAGAAGCGATTAGTTACTATTTGCTGGTATGTAATATATTATGAAATGTAGCAATTACCGTATGATTAACTCCCCACATAAAAACGGACAGTAACGGTTCATTAGCACGAAACAATTTCACTTTTTGATGCTTAACACGAATATGTTTCTTCTTTAGCTTGCTCAATCCTGTGCTGGGTACGGACATTTTGGATTTAGTTAATAGTCAGTGCAAAATCACTTATTATTATATACAACACACAATCGTGTTTAAACCATTTTTAGACGGCAAAACAACAAACCAACACAAAATTAAATCTTTAAGTATATTTTAACACAGAAAACACCCATCAATAATGAACGGCTTTTTGACAGCAAATATTATTTTTAATTTTTATTATATGACCATGGACAAAGAGTAGGGATGTTCGATAATTATCGATGTTAAAAATTAAAACATCGATGTTGACACATGTCAAACATCGAAACATCCATGTCAATGAACCCATTATCGATAAATAAGAACTGCTGAACAATGAGAACCCGCGAAATCAATACCAACTAAATCTTGCATCTCCTATTAAAGGTTTCAAATTTTGAATAATTCAGAATTGATTAAAACTACTTTTACGGATTTTATCGCGTTTATTTTATTATTATTTTTAATTCCCGACGTTTCGGGCGCTTCATAGATTACTGTATATATACTAGAGATAGATGTGCGACTCAAATTTAATTTTAGTTAAAGTTCGGGTTTTGCCTAATAGATGGCGTTAAAATATTGGTGCTTAGGGCTCGCCCTTTATTTGCACTTTAATATTTTTATTTTATATACAACCACTAATTACATTGCGCAAGTGCTACAATAGAAATATGCATACATTGCGCAAGTGCTACAATAAACAATAGTTGTTTATGTTTCTTGTGGTAATGGAGAAGATAACCATTTTTTGTTTTATATACCAAACTCTTCTACAAAAATTACGAGAATAACTGTGTTTTTAATTTTTTTTTATCTTCAAAACTGACCGAGATATAAAGGCGCAAAGTTAACATTTTCGGTCTAAACCGCGGACCGAGAGCGACACCGTTGATGACGTCTCGATTTCCATCTTTGTGCGAGCGACCCGACGCGCACTTTGGAAATCCAATCATTTACTCAAATGTGCCCATCGTTCGCGGATCTACTTGCTATCTACTCTCTATATCTATCTATTAAATATTGTGCTGTGCCTCAATGTAAAAAAACGGCCACAAAAACACCTGAAAAGTTGTTTTTTAATGTGCCTAGAACTAGAAACTCTACCATCAGAAAAAATGGACAAATGCTATGAGAAGACCACATATTTAGGACCAAACACGGTAGCATTTTGTTGTGAGGATCATTTAGATGTAAGTAAGTATTCAAACAGTAATAACCTACACATGATAGCTCTTAGTTATTGCTAGTAAATGCTTTCTATTAGGCATGTAGGTACCACCTACTTGAGTCGCAGTTTTTAAGGTAACTAACGATTCATTGTACCTTTCGACGCATAATGATTATAATTTCAAGACGAAACAATACCTAATACCTACATATTTAACTAAAACTACTTCAGTGTAAATAAACATCAAAACTTGGGTAAAGTACTTACCTATGTAATGTAAATAAGTCAATGACCTGTCGTGAGTTCGTAAGTTTAGATACTAACCTATGTTTGCAGCAAATTTTAAAATGTTTATAATACATATAAAGGTTAAGATATGGAATATGTTAACAAATGTTTTTATATTTTTACGATATTTCGAGCAAAAACTAAACACATCGCAGAGGTGTTCAACCTTTATACTTTGCGGGCCGCAAATAATGGAAGAAGTTTGATTATGAAGTGGAGCACTTAAATTTTTTTTTCGTGTGTCCTATTTTTATGTATTACATAGTTTATAAGATACGATATTTTAAATATTGATGGAATATAAATTACGAGGTTCCTTATTTTTTTATAGACTATATAAATTTGTATTTTGTTCTAGGTCGAAAACGATATGGAAAACTACGTGAAGTGCAAACTAGTTGGTGGTCCCCTCAAACTTAAAAAAGATATTTTGCCTCACAAGTTTGCTTGTCAAAATCAGTATACAGAAAAACCACAAAGATGTTTACTTACTGATTTCTTAAATTTACGCGAACACTACACATTGAATAAAACTAAATTTACGGATTTTATCCCGTTTATTTCACTACTTTTACTTATTTTTAATTTCCGACTTTTCGGGTGCTTTACAGCAACCATGGTCACGGGGGGGGGGGACTGAGATGTTTGACGTCCCAATGTCATTGTTAGCCCGGCTACATTCAGTTTTTGAATATTAATTTTTGGTCCGATTTACGCAAAACGAACTTACAGTATCTTGAAGTCTTGCAGTGCTATGCTTGGGTTTGGGTTTAATTTTGTTAATTATAGGATCCAAGCAGATGGCAGCACCCAACCATCTTCTCTATTGAAATTAGGATGTTTTTTTAATTTCAATAGCCTCGCGTATCATCCTTGGTAGGAATCGGTGTTCTTTTGCGAGGACTTGCGGTTTATCAAATCTGATGTAATGGTGGGGACGATCTTGAACATGTTCACTGCAAGATAATGTAAGTTCGTTTTGCGTAAATCGGCCCGAAAATTAATATTTAAAAACTGAAGGTAGCCGGGCTAACAATGACATTGGGACGTCAAACATCTCAGTCCCCCCCCTTGACCATGGTTGCTGTAAAGCACCCGAAACGTCGGGAATTAAAAATAAGTAAAAGTAGTGAAATAAACGCGATAAAATCCGTAAATTTAGTTTTATTCAAAGATGTTTACTATCAAAACTAAATGCCAAATCTAGGTCAGAAACAGTTGCACATGCGATTGCCACTACTTCACAGGAAATTGAGCATAGATATGTTGTCGTTCCTGTTACTACTCTAGATGATAATATTGACATTGATCCCTTGCCTGAAGAATATATAACTACGATTTTAATCATAATAATAATGCGACCCTTTTTCTATTAATATTGAAAACATCTGATTTTTAGATAAAATCATTTTTTTACACACCGAAGGTATATTTGTAGTAAATTTCTTTATAAACAACAGGAATTTTTTTTAACCATAAAAACCACAAAAAGGTCAGGGTGCACTTAAGAAGAATAAGAAAACAAAACTAGTTAGAAGCAGATAGTAAGTAGGTAGGTAAGGAATGATTACGTATTTTTGTTATAGCTATTCTTATCATTAGCAAATGAAACCCAGAAGTATTAATGTAATAATGGTTACCTAGGTTATAAAAATATTATCTTATTCTTATGCGTATTTCAGTCGCGTCAAAATCTTTGTTTCTTAGAAAATATTCCGCCACCATCATTTTACGGACTATTGGAAGTTTGTCAGATTGACCCTTTTGAAACCCTACGTCCATCATTAAATACTTAAAAACACCAGAGCGCACGAGGGCAGACAACTCACCCGCGAAATATTACTACATACGTATGATCGGCGCGCTGGAACGGTATGGCGGCGCGGCCACATGGAATCGATGACGTCACGCGCTACTCGCGGGCACGGGCGAGATTTTAAAAATCTACGTAAACTTTCCACGCTTATAACTTCGGTAATAGTGCACCGATCGATGTAAAATAAAAACTAGAATTATGTGTTTGGTATAGACTTTTTACCTACGTACTTAAAAGTCTAATATTGTAACCTTGTTATCTTCTCCATTGTAAGTTCCTATACCAAAAAATAAAAATGTCGATGAGTTTGGGCTCCACGGTCTTTCATGCAAGAAAAGTGCAGGTAGGTTTTCCCGTCACGGTTCTTTGAACGAAGTCATCCAAAGGGCTCTTGTCTCCATAAATATCCCCTCGCTTTTAGAGCCTTGCGGGATATTTAGAGACGATGGCAAGAGACCCGACGGTATGACTTTGGAGAGAGGTAAAGCCCTAGTGTGGGATAATAATAATAATAATATTCCACAACTATCACACAACGCCATCTAGTCCCAAGCTAAGCAGAGCTTGTGTTATGGGTACTAGACAACTGATAAACATACTTATATATTTCTAAATACATAAATATTATAGATAAATTACACCCAGACACAGAACAAATGATCGTGCTCATCACACAAACATTTGTCCTGGGTGGGAATCGAACCCACAACTTCCGGCATAGCAATCAGGGTCACTAACCACCAGATCAACAAGCCTGTCCAAAAAAAGGGATGCTACTTGCGTTGACACTTTGGCAGCCTCTCATCTCAAGGGTACCTCTTTTAGAGCCGGGGCGGCATCAGAGGCAGCCGAATTTAGTAAATGGCGCAAATATGAGTCTTTGAGAAATGACTACATATTTGGCGCAAATATGTAGTATATTTCTCAAACACTCATATATGTGCCATTTGCAGTAGAGACTATCAGTCCGTGGGGTCCACGTGCAGTGAAGTTCCTAAAAGAACTGTATCCACGGCTGGTTGCCGCTGCTGGTGATAAGAGGGCTGGTTCTTTCCTCGCTCAAAGGCTAAGTATAGGTATTCAGCGAGTCACTAATCAGCTGGTGATCCTCAAGGTACTTCATGAGCTGGCAGTTTACAATGGACTCCATTGTTTTGGAGAACAACAAGGTGATGCCGATAGGCTGGTAGTTGGACGGGTCTGAGCGGTCGCCTTTTTTAGGTATCGGGTGGACGAAAGCCGTCTTCCGTGATCTTGGGACTACGCCTAGGGAGTAGGAGTACCGAAAAAGACGCGTTAAAACCGCTGCCAACTCTGGAGCACACGTCCTCAGCACAATCGGGGGATTCCGTCAGGCCCACATAACTTGTGGATGTCCAGGGAAAGGAGTGCTTTGCGAACCGAGCACTGTATGAACTGCACTTCCGGCATGGAGCATTCACACCGCGGGATGGTCGGCGGCGTACTCACCCCATCATCGAGAGTCGAGTTGGACGCAAAGAAAGAGCCTAGCAGATCGGCTTTCTCCTTTGCGGTATGGGCCAGTGAGTCATCCTTCCTGTGCAGAGATGGATGAGATGGCTGACCGAAATTCCCCTAGACAGCCTTGGCGAGAAATCGGAATGCACGGGTTCCAGAAGGAAGGCGAATTAGTTTCTCGCCAATTCTACCTATGTGCTCTGACTTTGCTTTGGCAATGACTCTTTTAAAGGACCTGGAGGCGGAATTATACTT